GTTCAACATTTTAAAACTCGCTCCCAAAGTAGTCGATACCTATAAGCAAATAAATATCGATACTTTGTACTGCAATATTTCGATTAGTATAAAGTCGGTCAAAGTAATACTTGTAATCGCTATCGAATTAATTTATTAAAATTTTACATTGGGAGAAAAAATGTGGTCGGACACTTTTTTAATTGTATTTATATCAATATGTACGGCATTTTTGGGCGAAGGTATGTATTAAAAAAATTACAGCTATACGTGAATGTAGTTTTAATAAAAAAGCATCATACACGTATTCATTTATAGGACTTACATGGGTGCTGGTCTACCGCACCGAGAAGTACCAGCGGCTGAAGACAGAAGTGGACAAACAGAGCAAGAAGTGTGAGTTGACTAGGTGTGCAGTTTGTGGTAAAGGTTGTAGGCTAATTGCATGTCACGTATTTTACATTTAGTGGAACGGCGTAAGGAGACACACGGCGATTCTTTGGATAAATCGGTAAAAAAGAAACTCGAACGTTATGAAGAGAAGTTGAAGAATAACAATCGCGACTTGTCGTTGGTAAAAATGAAGTCCATGTTTGCAACTGGATTTGCATTCACCGCCTTGTTGAGCATGTTCAATAGCATATTCGATGGTCGGGTTGTGGCCCAATTGCCGTTTACACCCATCTCCTGGATTCAGGGCCTGAGCCATCGTAATCTGTCAGGTGATGACTACACCGACTGTTCGTTCATCTTCCTCTATATACTCTGCACCATGTCCATCCGTCAAAACATTCAAAAACTGTTGGGCTTTGCTCCGTCGCGAGCGGCTAGCAAGCAAGGTGGTGGCCTCTTTGGCCCGGCGCCAGGTCAATTTAAATAGTTCTATTTTTTTTATTATTGATTTGTTCCTAGCTAAATTTTGGATTGGATTTCTGTTTAAAAAACCACATACAATAAATTAAATTTTAATTTAAAGCATTAAACTCGTACATAGGTTTGTCAACAATAAGTCGATCAAATCCCAAACGTGACAAGTCCAATGTACGGAACTGGCCGTCCATAATGAGCTCAGAGATGGCTCGACCCAGTGCTGGTGTCTGTTGTATGCCCTGCCCACTGAAGCCGCTGGCAATGTATAGATTATGATAGTAGGGATGCGGTCCCAAGATGCCATTATCATCGTACACGTTGTAATCGTAAAGGCCGGCCATGCTATTGACTACCTTGGCGTTCGCAAAGGCGGGTACACGCTCGATCAGCGCGGGGAGAATCCTTTCATTGAAGTACGTCGGATCCACATCTAAATTATCGGCACTCACTTTTTCGCCAGGTAACGCATTGTGCCCGCACACGTAGTCGCCGCCCAAGCCCACTCGACGGATATAGGTGCCTGCCGTTGCGTCCACAACCATGGGCATGGCCATGCCGGGAGCACTCTGGTCTTGGGTGTTTATCTTGTACATATAACGCTTGCGCGCATCTATGGGCAAGGGCAGATGCAGCACTCCCTCACCAAGGCCAATTCGTGCTAGACGTGCCACATCCCCACTGTTTATGCCCGCGGCAATGACACACAGAGCGAACTTAATGGCGCGCTTCGTCCCATCTGGTTGCTGGATGATCACCTTGTCCAGGCTCTGATAGCCACTCTTCTCGGCGTTAGATACTATAATATCGGCTTGGCTTACAAACTCGAAGGCGACAGCTTCACCATGCACGAAATGCGCGCCATAGCCGTGGGCAGCCCGTTTGTAATTGGCTAGGAGTGCCCAGGGATCAAACCAACCTTCACGTTCCTGCCCGTAGCAGCCTAGAGCGATGCCTTTGGTGTTTAGCCAAGGAAACTTGGAGGCCAAGCGATCTGCTGTAAGCAACTCATTGCGTGCGCCCAGATCGTTTTGCAGCTGTGATGTCTGCTTCAGCATCTCCGCATCCGCCTCACCGGCAAGCACCAGATGTCCATATGGCATATATTTAATGGGTATATCGGTGCCAAAGTGTTCCGGCGCTTCGCGTAGAAAATCGGCAGCAAACAAAGACATTTGTATTGTTTCTGGCAATGCGAAATGGTGGGACAGGCCATTGATGGACACACGAGTTGCGGATCTCTCGTGCTGAAATTAGAGCGAAGCTGAAATGCTCTCTGAATACATTTATATTACCAGTCGGCACATACCTTGATATCCTTTTCTACTACAACTACATTGAGACCGTTGCGCGCCTTCTGCTTGAGCCAATAGGCTATAGAGCTGCCCATTCCTCCACCTCCAATGATGAGGACGTCGCAATGTGTTGGGAATTCATCGATGCTGCCCTTGTCACCGCTAAAGTTGAATTTATTGCTTGTAGCTATAGGCTGGGCTTCGTTCTCGCTATCAAATTTATCTTCTTTGGGCACAAAGAACTCCTTAATCTTTCGTATATCGTTGCCTAGCAGGCGAAATGTGCGACGTATGGGGTGCAGGTCGTTTGGGTCATCACCGCCGGGCGGATTCGAGCTAGTGGAGTGAGCACGTAATAGTGGAACCTGAATCTGGCGTATAACATGTCTGCAACGTAACATCTTTCTGACCACTAGGTATTTATTAAGACTATGGTTTACTTTAAGTCATTAAATGTTGATTGTTATGCTATCTCATAACGTGCGATGGAGAACAGCTGATGAAAGTGGTTCTGATTAGACTTACTCGTTGTGCTGTTAACTTAACACTAGGCTAAAATGTTAATAACAGTGTAAGCAGCTACTTGTGCAACTGTAATTTAAAAAATGTATACAACAAAAATTGCTTGCGATATTAGATGCATTGATAGAAATGCAATTTTTTATGAAAATCGAAAAAAAAAAAAATATTTACTAAAAAATTTTGTGGCAGCATCACAATCAGTATCGATAATTGTAGCGTCAGAGTAACATGTAAAGTGCTTGTCAAAACTATCGCCCACCACTAGAGTCTGGCATTACTTGGCAATTTTGTATGCCGAGTTCAGGAAAAATATTAATTTTAAAACAAACAGTAATTATACGTAAATTGCAAGTGCTTTAGAAATGGCAACAGTCGCTGTTGATACTGTCTCTCAAGACATCGAGATGGAGGTGGATGCTACGGCTGAAACATTGGCAGACGAGAAGAAAAATCAAGATCTCGCTGCTGTACAAGAACTTCGCGAACAAATACGCCAAATTGAAAAGTCCGTGGCCTCCAAGGAAGCACGGTAAGTGAAAAATCAAAGTAGCTATATTTACCTGCATAAATCAAATATAATATATAAAAATCCTTCCAATTTAGTTTCATTCTTCGCGTGCTACGCAATTTGCCCATTACTCGACGCAAATTAAACGGCGTCGTATTCCGGAACCTGGCTCAGAGCATTTATCCCGTTGGCGCTGACCGCGAGGCTGCCTTGGCACTCACGCCTGCACTCGAAAAAGATGCCACAGAATTGCCTGATGTGCCCAAAAAGCAGGTGGCAACAAAGGCTCCCATTGCTGAGGTAGATGCGTACTATTATCTACTGTTGCTGGTGAAATTGATAGATGCTGGAGATTTGAAGCGAGCTGGCGTTTGTGCTGATGCGTTAATGTCTAAAATATCGATACAAAATCGTCGCACATTGGATCTTATTGGTGCCAAGTCATATTTCTACTACTCACGCGTGGCGGAGCTGAACAATGGACTGGAGGGGATTCGTTCCTTTTTGCATGCCCGCCTGCGCACTGCGACGCTGCGCAATGATTTCGAGGGACAGGCCGTACTGCTCAATTGCCTGCTGCGTAACTATTTACATTATGCACTGTACGATCAGGCCGACAAGCTGGTCAAGAAGTCGGTGTATCCCGAGTCGGCCAGCAACAATGAATGGGCACGCTTCCTCTATTATTTGGGTCGCATCAAGGCCGCCAAGCTTGAATACAGTGATGCTCACAAGCATTTGGTGCAGGCGCTGCGCAAATCACCACAGCATGCCGCCATTGGATTCCGCCAGACAGTACAGAAGTTGATCATTGTTGTGGAACTGTTGCTGGGCAACATACCGGAACGCGTGGTGTTTCGCCAGGCTGGATTGCGCCAATCTCTTGGACCATATTTCTCGCTCACACAGGCTGTGCGGCTGGGTAATCTGAAGCGCTTTGGGGATGTGGTCTCACAGTTTGGACCCAAATTCCAGATGGATCATACATTTACGTTAATCATTCGTCTGCGCCACAATGTGATCAAGACGGCTATTCGCTCCATTGGTCTCTCCTACTCGCGCATTTCGCCGAAAGATATAGCCAAGCGTTTGATGCTGGACTCGGCAGAGGATGCCGAATTTATCGTGTCCAAGGCTATCCGTGATGGTGTTATTGAAGCTACCTTGGATCCCGAACAAAATTATATGCGAAGCAAGGAGAGCACCGACATATATAGCACACGCGAGCCCCAGTTGGCCTTCCATGAACGCATTTCGTTCTGCTTGAATCTGCACAATCAGAGCGTTAAGGCAATGCGTTATCCCCCCAAGTCTTATGGCAAGGATTTGGAGAGTGCCGAGGAGCGACGCGAGCGGGAACAACAGGACCTGGAGCTGGCCAAAGAGATGGCCGAAGATGATGAAGACGGTTTCTAAGCTCTTACTTTCATAAAGATATACATTAATTTTTCATAAATGTGTGAACGATTATCATAATAAAATTAATTTCCGAAATTTGTAAACCCAGCGTCTGTATTAGTTTCCAAATATTTAAATATTTTGCCGGTTTGTCCCTTAAATATAAGTTCCTCGTATGCGTTGTTTATTAATCGTAATATCAAATTTAAACCGTCTTTAAGTAAGCGATGAAAGAGTTGTTAAACTATCCTAGCAAAAGATCTGTAGTATTTTATTTGATACTTAAAATAATTGACATTTTAAATTGTATTATCATTATAATTTTACTTTAATAAGTATATTTAAGTATATCAAACCTATTCACAATAATAGCTGGCGGTACTGCACTATCGATATAAAGGCAAGCTGCAAATGCGAAATATATCGAGCATTTTGAAGCATCGATACATCTTTGCAATATCAACAACCCTATCTAGTTGCATTATTCTTGGAGCAGAAAGCAGAAAATTTTTGTGAAAACACCACGGAGCGAAAAATGTAAAGTTCGCAAATGTAAAAAGTAACAAAAAACGTAGAAACAAACTATGAACTTGCAAATTGTGTTCAGATTGATATTGAAAAGTGCATGTGCGCGTTTATTGTAGAAATACTACATGCAAGTAATCAGCAGCCACAGCATTCTGTGGCAGCGACTCGTCGTCCAGTAGCAGCGAGTAAATTGTGGAGTCTCTCTGGCCACATTGGTGGACTAGCGCCCGCAAATGTATGCGACAAACTAGTAGTGGGCAGCAGCAGCAGTCGTTGTCGTCTTTGTGAAGCATCAATCGCGAAAAAGCAAAGGAAACAAATAAACGCCAAAACAACAGAGTGAAAAAAAAAAACGTGCGTAAAAGTTAATTAGCTGCCGCCAACCAACGAGCAAACGCAGAAGCGAGTGGAGGAGCAACAGCAGCAGCTGCTGCTCTATACAAATCGACAATCGACATTATTGTTGTTGTTATTATTATTGTTGTTGTTGTGGTTTTTGCACCCACCACACGTAACTAGAGCAGCAGCCACTATACACATACATACACACAGATACACTAAAACACACATACACATATACACAGACACAAGTTCACACACATACACACACACACACCCCTACGTATAAACACTCCAGGCTAGACTTCGTAGTAGATGCGTGCGTGCCACAACAAAATTGGAAATGATTTGTCCAAAAGACGTCCTGCAGTGGTTTAAGACTCTGGAGAGCTATAATCGCATTGATACCATGTGTTCATTGTTCGAGGCCTGTTTGCCGTTCGAGTTGCGGTTTCTGGGCACATTTTTGGAGGAGCTGGGTCGCAGGGATTCACCGGAATTGCGTGGCATGGAGCTGCGCGCCAATAATCCACAGGATCTGGCCGCCGATATGCACAACTGCCAAAAGGGCGAGCCAACAGACAAAAAGATCCGCCGCAAGATGGCGCTATATTTAGCGCTAATACGTGCCTGTAATCGCAATTGTGTGACAGAAATATTTCGGACCCTCGAATGTTGGGGCGATCGCGATTTTGCCAGCATTAACGATCAGGATACGATCCTGGAGCTATTGCTCGTCTACACAATGGCTGCCAAGCATCCAGTCTTCTCTTACCACCAGAACACCAAATGCGGCGAAATTCTGGCCAAGATTAAGGAAATCAGACGTATGGCGGACGAAACGTCACAAATTATGAGCCAACAGCAGCAGCAGCAGCAGTCGTCACAGCAGCAACAGCAACAGCAACAGCCGTCGCATACACAACACTTGCTGCATCAGCAGCAACAGACGCAGCCACAACCGCCACCGCCTTTCCATCATCCAGTGGTGCCAATGATGCAGCCACAGCAACCAACGCCTCTGCTGTATCCACAGCCTTGGACCAAGGTAACAAATCAATTGTCCATAAGGTTATGCCAGCCCGAAAGAGATTCCATGGTAGTCTGTTATATTATCTATATGAATTGCCTTCTACTCTATTTAAAATGCCTTTTCTTTGATCCTTTGCAGATCATACCTGGCACAGAAGTGGACAGCATACAACATTTGATGCAATCCAACATCACCATTCCAACGGACTCGAATGCCATTGCTGCGGCAGCAGCGGCGGCGGCGGCAGGCGGCTGGTCCATGCGCAACTCAGTGCCATGTACAGTGTACGCCGTGCCGCCTCCACAGCCACAGAGCCTGGATCATCAGGTGCCGCCGCAAGCCAGCTCGCCCATGCTAAGCAGCCAGCAGTCATCGCCGTCGACCAGTCGCACCACCAGCCCACAGCGCGAGCGTGGCAGCAGTGCCCCACTGCTGCAGCAGCAGCAACAGCAACAGCCACAACAACAAATGCGCAGCTTGCCGCTGCGCTTGCCGAACAGCGTCAAACATTCGCGTCGACCCTCTGTGGAGACAACGCCACCGCCAACGTCCACATCCGTTGGCAGCGGCGATGCTAAGCATTTTGATGAGGTGGGTACTATGAATCATACAATCAATAACAGCGAATCAATGGAGAAATATGTATTCCTGATCAGCGCTGGCTGAGTATCAAATGGATTGTCGTTGCTATCTTTGTGTGTAGATGATTGTTGCCCAGAATGGATCTTGGTTTAAGGTAGAATAATAGGGATTCGAACGGCAATTTAGCGATGCCCAAAGATTCTTCCATGAACAGGTTAATGCTTGGGTCAACAATTTAATTTTAGCCTGTTTAGCGTTGACCTAGTTGTAGATATTTCTCGCTGAGAATACATCTTGGTGTAAGGTAGTATAACTAGAGATGATGAGTGAGATTTAATAGCTGTTCCTGTTCCTGTTCAGATGAAAAGATATTTGTATTTCGTGTTTAGCTTGCCCAAAATTGATAATGGTAGAATAGCTAAAAATTGTTAATCAAGTTACTAATTCTTGAATATTATTCTTTCAATTCTATATGGGTATCTAGGTACAGATATATAGATATTTGATATAAATATTTTCATTCATTATATTATGAGTTCAGAATTGAGCTTGGTCTAAGGTAGTAGAATAGCTAAAAGATTTGAATAGACATTTAGTAATTCTCTAAGATTTTTCCTTTAATTGTGTTTATATACGATTACTTGATTTCAATACAACTATTCGCATTTTAGTTATTTTATAATATATTTATAGGTCCTTTGAGAATAGACAAAATGAGGGCTGCATGAAATTTGTCTATCCTTGTAGCTGTTATGCACCAAATTATTTAATCAATTGAAGAACTATGTGTGCTAATTGTTATTAACAAATCATCAAAAGAATATTTAATAATAATATATTTTTGTGCCTATATGATTCCAGGGAATCAGCGAAGGCGGCGGCAACTTGTCTAGTATTATACGCAACGCAAGCTATCCGCGTGTCTCGCATCAGCGTATGAATGCGAATACATATATACCACCTCACCAGCAGCAGCAACAGCAACAACAACAGCAGCAGCAGCAGCAACAGTCGCCGGTAAGTCAAGATTCACAGCAGCAGCAGGCGCAGCAGCACTATCAGATGAACAGCTTCATCAAGGCGAACACACTGGTCCACACAATGCATAACATGCATATAAACGAAGATGGCAGCGGCTCGACGAGAATGGGTTCAAGTAAAAGTGCGGCAACTACGAGCAGCGAATCGGGTTGCTCGAATGGCTCTTGCGGCGAGACAACGCCACCGGAAACGCCCACGCCCACGCTGCCCAACCATTCAGTGGGCATTGGTTATCAGCAGCAGCAGCAGCAGCAAAAGCCGCATCATATTAGCAATAAGCAGTCTAGCCTACAGCATCGCCTCAACGGGCGCAATGGTGTGGAGAAGAGCTATCAGCAAATCTATACGCCGAGCAATCCCAGCGAGCAACAGCAGCAGCAGCCGCTGCTCATGAGTCCCTCTGCTGTTAGTACGCCACCAACACCTGTGCTGTTGCAGACGCAGCAACAGTCACAACAGCAGCAGCAGCAACAACAGCAGCCGCAGCAGCAACAGCAGCAACCACAACCACCGCCATCAGCGACAGCGTATAATGCACCAACATATCCATATCATGCGGCAAGCGGACGTGGACCACAGCCGGCTTTGATAAAACCGCATCATCCGCAGCCGCCGCCACTGGCGCTGCACAATTCCATACGCCTTCATTACCAGCCTAACGGGGACATCATCTTTCCGGGCTATCATCCCGGCTTGACGTATCCAGTGCCCGTTACAGCACCGCCAGCTGGTGCGCCCACAGCTGTGACGGCGGCCCAATTGGTCCGCAATACGGCGCCCGTTGCCAGCACCAATGCAGTCACAGTGCAAACGCAAACGCCCGCCACACAGCCGCAGCCGCAGCAATTGCTAGCGACGCCAGTTGCGCCCACGCCGTATACGACGTTAGGCGTTTGCCCCATAACTGGGGCGAGCAGCGCAGTGACACCGAAGATCATCTCCTGCTACAACTGTGGCTCCCAGACGCACATCGGGCGCGACTGCCAGGAGGCGTCCATGGAGGATGTGACGCGCAGTGCCACCTACAAGCTGGACTTCAGTACGACAAATAACTCGAGCAGCAGCATCGATGGCGGCAACCTCAGCGATCACAAGGATGTCGGCAGCATGCTGAAGAATGTGCCAGCGACGACGCCAACGGCGACAGCGGGAGCAGCATTGACCAGCATGGGCAAATAAGCCATGTATAATACACACACACACACACACACACACAGATAAATTTTACATATATATTTGTATATATATATGTATAAATAATTAATACATCTAATTAATTAATATACTTATTGTAATTCTTAACTACTTACACAATTGAACATTTATAACGTTTGTAAAAGTGCGGAAATCAAATTTCACGCCTTTAGCCACGTCTCTTAGTTGTTTAAGTCATTTTTGCAAATTTCGTTAGCCAGAACAAGTCGCCTAAAATTAAACAACAACAAAAAAAGAAACATTAAACAAAACAGAAACGAAAAGCAAAAAAAAAAAAAAAATAACAGTAATATTATAAACAATTAACAACCTTGCACACCACAGGGAAATTATGCAGATAGTAATTGTAGTTATATATACATACATATATATTCTATATATATAAATATAAATGATACTATATCTATTGTATAATTGCGCGTACTATACGAATATTTCTACCAATTAAGTTATACGCAAAACAAATAGGCGAGAAACAAAAACAATACAATGACGAGCAATAGACAACAAACAATTTACATTACTCTAAAATCAATGAAAAACAAATACAAAAGAAGAAACATAAATTAGTTAAAGCAGCTGTTAAACGTAGTAATTATCAAAAATATAATTGAATTGATATTTGCATGGAGAAGGAGTAGGAGGTAGGAGGTAGGAGGTAGGAGGTAGGAGCTAGGAGAAGGACTTCACGCTCTGTGTGTGTTCGCTTGTGACATAAGAAATATCCATTTGTAATTGCGATAAATAAACTATATAATTTGTAAGCGCAAAAGCAGAGATAAGAATTAATAAATGCAAACTTAAGCAGAAAGATAAAAGATAAAAGCGTGTAAAACAAAAATGTAGCATTACAATAAAATGTTAGCGAATACCTTATAAAATGTGTATAAACAAAATGAGCGTAGTGCAGCACACACACACACACTCACACACACCATATATGTAGACACGCATACAAATACATACAGACATACTCCCACTCGCACACGCACACTTGAGAGAGGGTGCAAGCGAGAGAGTTAGTGTGCTTAGTTAACGTTAACTATTAATCTAATTATAACTAAATTTATTCATACTAGTAATTATTTATTTTATTTGCTGCTCCCTTGTTTAAACAGATTTCAGATTGGTTTTTACATTGTATTATATAGATTATATATATA